TTTACAAACAAGGAAAGTAAGGCCCAGGGAATGTAGGTGACTTGCCCAAGTTAAAACAGCTCTGAACTGGTAGAGCTGAGAATTGAATCCTTCATGTCCCTTTGACTTCAGAGCCCATACATTCTTCCTTCACAGCATCACCCAGTCATATCAAGCCAATAGCAATCCTGCAGTTTCCCTGCACTGATTTGTTAAGGGGACTTCCGAACAGCTGGTGTTCGTTGCTCTGGAAAAAGGATTGGTTTGAGTAGGTAAATGAGGGTTTCTCATACCATTTCAAACATATTACTTGCACGTGCTTTGATGGACTTAATGTCTCCAAAACCTCCAGAGGGGAACTTCTTCAGCCACACCCAATCACCCTGGAAAGAAAAGGAAGAGGGGGTGATAAGACTTAGTTGCCAACACCTTCAGAGCAAAGGCTCTTCCATACACAGGGTTTTTAATCTGACCATCAACTCAAACATGCTTTGTTCCTCCCCCATTACCCTCCACCACACGGACACTCTGTGTTTGAGGTAAAAATGAGGCCATGCGGAGAAGTTAAATGTAAGCTCCAACTAACTAAAGACAGGGAAACCACTGCAGGTATGCAGACCCCAGAAAAGCAATGGTACCTCTCTCCACAATGCCTCCCTTCAATAACTGCAGGAAGCGCTAGGTCATTTCCTTTATTCATAGCTAAGTGATGTAGCACCAGGTTCTCTGCGATTAATGGTGATGGTTGTGATTCTTACTGCCTCGAGGCATCTGTGTTGGGAGATGTAGGGCAGGAGACAGAATGCAGCGAATGTTGTCTGCATTTACCTTGATCCATTTTTCTCTCATGGGACAGGCCATTTTGGGGGAACTCTCATGCTTCAATCATAAACCAGTTGGCTTAAATGTACCTTAAACATTTCTTATCTGGATACACACATGTACCACCGTGGTAATAGGAGTAATCTAGACTCTTCCAGAAGTCCTTTTGACTTTTGAACCACAAAGCAGCTATTGCTAAGGCTGCGGTCAAGTCAAAAACCAACAATTATCTTATTGTCTTCACTTTAACACCAGGGCCTGATAGATAACTTTCCTCTACGTGCATAGCCTCAAGGATTCATCAGTCATCAAGCCCTATTTAGTTTCTGTCCGACCCAAATTTTTTGAAAAAGCAATACAAATATAGATCCCTTTTTCTCCATAATAATAATAATGCCTTACATTTGCACAGCGCTCTTTACTCTTCGAAGGGCTTTCACATCTATTACCTATAGCCTGGAGATTCCATTTCAGGCTGCACCAATTTGTCATCGAGTAGAGATAATAAAGCAGAGAGCTCTGTGCAGTCAAATTCCAAGAATAAGAGAGTGTAACCACTCTCTTATTAAGGAATATATCCAGCTGTGGTACTGCATCTGGAGACCTGCCAGAGGCAAAGGCTAATAATGGGAGCTGCAGGCATCTGAGTTACTCGCCTGCACTTTGTGTTACAGGGCATCTTTTAGCCAAGGAGCTTAAAACCCTTTAACTAGAAGCCTTCAGCCACTGGGCAAAACTGTGCCAGCCAGGCTCAGCACCCACAGAGTCTAGCAAGGCAGTCCAGGATCAGTGTCTGTCTGCAGCAGAATGGTCGAGCACAAAAGGCAGCCTTCCTAGACTCTTGCTCAGAAATTCCGTGAGTGCGGCCCCAGACCAGCTGCCTCGTGATCACCTGGAAACCAGTTAGAAAGGCCAATTCTCAAGCTCCACCCCACACTTAAAGTTTATTTATTTATTTTGAGAGAGAGAGAAAGAGAGTGCACAAGCAGGGGAAAGGCAGAGAGAAAGAATCCCAAGCAGGCTCTGCACCACCAGTGCAGAGCCCGACACAGGGCTCAAACTCACAAACCCTGAGATCATGACCTGAGCCGAAGTCGGATGCCTAACTGACTGAGCCACTCAGCACCACCATACTTACTTATTTAATCATAGAAGTCATGAGGGCCAGACATGAGCTCTAAGTTGTAGCCTTCAGAGGACTTTGCCCTTTAGAAGGATCAAAGCCAAAGTTTAAGCTGAAAGAAAAAAACTCTAAGCTGAAAGAAAAAAATTCTAATTGGGAATTCACAAAATCAGCAAATGTGTAGGATATACCAGTGGACAATAAAGCTTCCCACCATCTTTGCAACTATATTACTTGGGCCATGGTCACTATTAGTTGTTATTGCACCTTTGTGCTAATTAGAAAGGGTGCTTTCGGGGCATCTGGGTGACTCAGTCAGTTAAGTGTCTGACTTTGGCTCAGTTCATGATCTCACGGTTCATTGGTTCGAGCCCCACATCAGGCTCTGTACGGACAGCTCTGAACCTGGAGCCTGCTTAGCTCAGAGTCTGCTTCGGATTCTGTCTCCCTCTCTCTCTGCCTCTCCCCCACTCACGCTCTGTCTCTCTTTCTCTCTCAAAAATAAAGATAAACAGTAAAAAAAAGAAAGAAAGAAAGAAAGAAAGAAAGAAAGAATGAAAGAAAGAAAGGGTGCTTTCCCTCAAGTAAAAAAATAGATATGTGAGAATATTCTTTTACAGCCTTTGGCAGCCCTGTGATGTTGGGCAGGAGCCCTGGCTGTATACATACATGCACGTGCCACACTGTTTACTCATACATTCTGCAGATACCAGGGAACACATTCCACTAGCAGCATGGATACTCTGCATACCACCAAGCCCCAGAGCCTCTTTGTCAGGTTTGGAGTCAAGCTGTAAGGGTGGAGGTGAGAAGCTGAAATTGGACTTCCAAAGCTATTGGACAGGAGGCAGGAATGACCTCAAGAAACTCCTAGGGAATAGTCAAGATAGCATATAATCAGGTGCACATATGTTTACCAGTGATTACGTATGTTCATAGTCAAGTGTGCTAGTATAAATGTAGGTATAAGAAGTTCCCACCCCCCACCCACCTCGTTCCAGAGCTAGGCTAGGAGACCAGGGCCTCTTTGCCCATTCCTTCACCACTCTCATATAACTTAGTATACATCTATAATGTGAATAGCACCCTCTTAGACATGGTGCCCTTGTTCAGTGCACAACCTGAACATCAGTACTGAGACTCTGCCAAAACCCAGTACCTGATACCTTCTTCCTGGAGTCAGCCATATTATAGACATGGGTTAGCCTTCTCTCTGACTTATTAGCTTTTAGAAAGAGTTAAGTAGAGCTTTTTTCCCAGCCAAATCACCAAATTTGAGAGCTGGAAAGGGTCTTGGATATCCCTATTCTAATCTATCCATATTTTGATAAAGAAACTAAAGTCCAAAGAGATTAAATGACTTGCCCAAGGTCAGAAGGCTAGGTAGTAACAGGACCAAGGCCTTCCACTTTCCACTTGATTGCTCTTTTCTCTCATGGGCTTTCTTTGGTTTGGGGGATTTGTGTGTGTTTGTTTTAAGATTTAAATAATTCTCACAAACTTTATAAGCAAATTTTTATTGAGACTCTGTGTGTCCTACTTCATGAATAATGAGGAAACGGAAGAAAATGGGCAGGTTTTATCTTCACCACACATACACTATTTGTTTTGTTTTGTTTTTGTTTTAAGAGAAAGAATGATAAAATAGTTCATTCATCATTCACTTTTTAATTAAGAAGAAGAAACATCAAACTCTACCCACTAAAGTTTTTAGAAGTAATTTAAAGTCCATCAGTTTTGCACTAAGACCATGGAGCATTAACTAAGAGTCAAGAGAACAAGGTCCTGGGACACCTGTGTGGCTCAGTCGGTTAAGCACCTGACTTCAGCTCAGGTCATGATCTCATAGTTCATGGGTTTGAGCCCCACATCGGGCTTTATGCTGACACCTGGAGCCTGGAACCTGTATCAGATTCTGTGTCTCCCTCTCTCTCTGCCCCTCCCCTGCTCGTGCTCTCTCTCCGTCTCTCAAAAATGAATAAATGTTAATAAAGAAAAAAGTTAAAAAAGAGAATGAGGTCCTAGACCTGGCTCTGCCTCAAACTCAGGGGTGACCTTAGGGAAGCCACTTAATCAGCCTGAGCCCCAGTTTTCTTATTGAAAGAGCTGGACAATTCTGTGATGAGAGAGATGGTTGGTGGAAAGGAGAGGGGGGTGGGAGAGAGAGGTATAAGCGATATAGAAGAAAGTGGGAAGGCCTCCTAGGTGGCTCAGTTGGTTAAGCATCCAGCTCTTGATTTAGGCTCAAGTCATGACCTCATGGTTTGTGGATTCAAGCCCCGAGTTGGGCTCTGTGCTAACAGTGTGGAGCCTGCTTGGGATTCTCTCTCTCTCTCTCTCTCTCTCTCTCTCTCTGTCTCTGCTTTCCTCTGATCTCTCTCTCTCTCTCTCTCTCTCTCAAAATGAATAAACTTTTAAAAGAAGGTGGGAAAATAGAAGAAAAGAGGCTCTGGGAAAGGAAGATGCATGGGGAGGGTGTGCAGTGGAGAGACAGAAATGAGACAAGGAGGAAAACACAGGGAGAGGCTGAGAGGCAGAACGAGTTGGAGATGAAGGGGGAGGATAAGTTCAATAGGTTCTCGCCTAGTGTATCAGGGTTGCATTAATGCCTGCCTCACCCCTCTCCCCTACACTGTGGGGGCTATTAGAGCGGATCATGACATGTTCCCACTGTATCTGCGATTCACATTCTCTCTCCCCAGCAGGCTGCTCATCTGGCTTTCCTCTCTTATCCCAAAGAGGATCTATGAAATAAGGGCTGATTTTCTGGTGCAGTTCCTAAGATTGTGCATCTCTGTGCATAATCCAAGTGCAAATTTGTGTCAGTGTCGCACAATGTTATGGCACATCCTAGAGAAGGCTGCCCTTTGCTAGTATTAGTCGTCTGCTACTCCAGGCATGTTATCTGGAACGTGCAGATCTTCCAATAACAATTCTTTTGAAAACCTGATTTATTTTAAATAGAAACTAGATAACGAATCTTCTTTAAAATACTCCTAATAGAGGACCGTTTCAGAAGACACACTGAACCGCTTTGTTTGATCTGTTGATTCAATTAACTTACACTCCCTCCCAGAGTCCTCTTCAGCCTTTGCCAGGCAGTTTTCCAGCTTCCGCTGTCTTCCTTCGCACCCTGCCATCAGCCTAATCTTGACTGCATGGTGTGGTATTATTCTCACTAACAACCTCCTTTTGTGCAGATAAAGGCCCCCTTTGGCCTATACAGTTCAGAAATACTCATGATCTGACCGACCAACAGTCATTTATGGGAACTAACTCAACTTTCTGCCTCTTTCCGAAATGGGGAAATATCTGACAGATTCTTAAAGGCCAGTTACCTCCAGAGGTTTATTTTTTCCCTTCTCAATTCTACACTATAACCTTCCATCTCCACTAAATAAAACATACCACAATTCAACACATAAATTCTACAGAATCAGGGAATCATAGCATATCTGAGCCAGAAGAGGCCTTAGAGATCTCTTAGTCCAGCAATTCCCAGCCCTGGCTGCACACAGGGAACCTTTAAAAACATACCAATGCCAGAGGTGCCTGGGTGGCTCAGTTGGTTAAGCTTCCAACTTCTGCTCAGGTCATGATCTCACGGCTTGTGAGTTCAAGCCCCGCATAAGACTTTGTGTTGACAGCTCAGAGCCTGGAGCCTGCTTTGGATTCTGTGTTTCCCTCTTTCTCTCTGCCCCTCCCCTGCTTGCACTCTGTCTCTCTCTCTCTCTCTCAAAAATAAACATTAAAGATTTTTAAAAAGAAAGAAAGAGAAAAATATACCAATGCCTGAGCTTACCCCATAGAATCAGAGTCACTAAAGATGAAGCCTAGGCACAGGTACATTTTTCAGTTTCACATGGAGATTCTAATGAGTAGCCAAGATTAAGAATTTAGTTCCATCCCTCATTTTACAGATGAAAAACCTAGATACCACTTTAGATTATTGAGCATTATTTCAGAATGTTAGAGGTGTCAATATCTTCATAAAGCCATCAGCTCACTGAATTTGACATTCAAAAGCTATGTAGGGGTGCCTGGATGGCTCAGTCAGTTAGGCATCTGACTCTTGATTTTGGCTCAGGTCATGGTCTCATGGTTTATGAGATTGAGCCCGGCATCAGGCTCTGCACTGACAGCACGGAGCCTACTCGGTATTCTCCCTCTCCCTCTCTCTGCCTCTCTCTTTCTCTTTCTCTCTCTCTTTCTCTCTCTCAAAATAAATAAACACTTTTTTAAATCTATGTAATTATCTTGGTTTTGGTCTTTGAGAGAGTAGAGCTGTCAATTCCATAATACCGCAAGCTTACATCTGAAGCAAATCTCCTCTTTGATTAAATTAGCTTCAAGGCCAGATCCAGAGGATTCCTGCTACAAATTTAAGTCAAAGTACTCAGGTACACTGAGCAAATATACATCATGCCGATCTTGGTGTTTTAGGCCTCTGTCAATTATTTAGCCAATGGAGGGGAGCACTCACTTGGAAATTTCAATATGTTGGACTATCTAAAAACTAATTCTGTCCTGTTTTGGACTTTCTTTGTAATTACTATTGAAGTTGAAAGTGTTTGCTGCTTTTGGGAGTATCTTCAAACAAAACAAGGAAACCACACTGGGAAGGCATCACTTAGGAGGGACTAGTTTCCCTTTTACCCCCTGCTTAACTCTTTCCTGCTGAGAAGAAACAGTTCATCTCTCCAACTGATGCAAGATATGTTCTGGTTGCCAAATTCCAGTATCTTAGAACAAGGGGTCAGGGGTGGCCTCTTAAAGCTTGAAAGACAGAAACTTAAGTGAAAATTTTCAAAAAAGATTTCCATTTCACACAGCAGAAAGTAACCCATTACTCCAGAAGGCAGCACAGGCTGAGAAAAAGAAATAAATAAATGATTTTTAAAAGATTTCAGTAATAGCCAAAGATGACAGGCATCAGAAGAACAACTAGAATTTGAAGCGTAGGGTTTGCCCAAAACTCTACTCTACACAAACATGTTTCTAGACACTCCATTGCAAACCATTGACTGAGGAAGCCATTTCTTCTATTATTACACCCATATCTCCTAGAATGAGTGACATGGTTAAGTATTTAAATCCACCATTTTTTCACACGCACAGTAAATAGATGGACTCGAAAGATTGATGAAGCTATATAAGTAACTAGATTAGTTGCTGAGGAAAATCGTTGTCCAAAATGTAAGCCAAACAAGTCCAAAAGTGGATAACAAACCAAACACTGGAAAGAATTACCAAAAGCCTCAATATTTTCACCCAAAGACTAAGTCATAAATCACTGTCTCATTTTAAAACCGAAGAAGGCAGCAGATTAGATAGCTCTTGGATATCCTACCTCATAAATTGCTATGTTGGAGTTTTCATAGGTAGCTGGAGTTAGACTCCCTGAAGAAAAGGAGAGCCTTGGGGACCACCCACTTTGGACTTCTGAGGTGACCTGGAAGCTTACACTAGCACGACTTCCTCTCTGTGAAAGGAGTAGGAAAAAAAGGTTATATGATTTAGGACAAAACATTAAGCTATGGTATAGATACTGTGCTTATCTGGCATTTCCTTTTCTTTTTTATTCCTCAGAAAGTAACTATATGAGTTGAACTCTGTAAACATAAGATTAATTTTTCCTATCCCCCACACAAATTTTTTTTGGCTAGGATTGCTACCATGTTCACCTCCATATACCACAAAAGAAAGGTAAATGTTTACAGGCACTTCCATCTCCTAGAGAGGATTAGAATCATAGATTTAGGGGGCAAGAAAGAGTGGCAGACACAATTTAATCTGGGACCCTCATTTTATAGACAAAAATAAGAAGAAGATAAACATCTCACATTTTGAAAAAAAATCAGTAGCAGAACTAGGACATAATCCCATCCTTCTGGCTCTCAGGCCTGGCTCTTTTTGCTATACCATCTTGAATGGCATCCTTCTTTGTACAGGCAAGATTAATGGCAGAAGGTATCCCAGAAGGCAATAAGATGGTAGAGAGTGAGTAGATCATCTGCCCATGATTTATAAGTCTGATGCCTAAAGAGACCAGATTCCTTATTCCTTGATTTGTTAACTTGTCCACATAAGTCTGGTAAGAGAGGACTAGGAAGTACACAGTCGAATGACATGAGGAAGAGTTATCTGCAATCTGTGTTAACCTTTAAAATTGAACATCTTTGTCCTCACCTAAACCAGCAGACTTATTTCACATGAAAAAATAATAAATCAACAGGTTCCTCCTTTTCTCCATGTGTCCAAATGTGCCTTCCTTAGAATGACAGCAATTCAGAGATAGCAGTTATATTTGGTATTGTCTAGGCTAGTGACCGCCTCCAACTCTAATACCCTCATTCTGCGAGGAAACAGAGACCTAGTGAGGGATATAGGGACTGGAAGAAGAATGTGATGCTATAATTCCTGATCTCGTGTTTTTTTCTAACACATCGTGCTTCACATCTAACACTCTTGCTTGCCAATACAAATTAATCTTAAGTACTTTCACATACTCTGCTCCTAATGGTCTTTGATTAACTGAAGATCGCTGGTTGATTTAGCCCTGGTTTAAGTTAGTTCTATCAAGATGGGACTATCACAAAGGTCCAAGGTAATAGCAAACTATACCCAGCCCCTAATGTGTTGAAATCCCAACAGCTTGCGATTTAGACAAGATGTAAAACTTGACTCTTCACATAACCCTTGCATAGACCTGAACTCTCCTCAACAGAGCAAGGCCAGGGAGGAATCTACTTCTCTTTCATTCTTTATTTTCATATCTCAGCAGGAGCACCTAGATCTGTATATTGAGACTTGGACCTCTCCATGAAGGGGCAAAGGAGAAAGCAAGAGTATCTGCCAAAATCCACATACATTTGGGCTTCAGCTTTACTTCCTTCTAAAAACTTCCTTTCCTGACCTGACTTCTACTGACCTGCCAATTTTTCTAGACTGAATTAATTTTATATTCACCAAGAGTTTACACTTTCAGACATTCCATTTGGATGGAATTCTTGGCTTGGCTTTGTGACTGATTAGACACAGCCAGCTGCAAGTTTGTGACTACACAGCAATTAAGGAAAATGTATGCTTCCCCTACCTTTTCCCACCAGAAACTCTGATACAAGCCAAATGCCAAAAGGGATCTGGAGGCCAAGAGCTGTGTTCTAGGATAATGCCATCCTTTTCCACTTGGACCAAAATAGTGTAAAATAAAAGAAGCATTCCCAGAGTGCCTGGGTGGCTCAGTCAGTCAAGCATCCGACTTCAGTTCAGGTCATAATCTCTTGGTTCCTGGGTTCAAACCCCTCCTCAAGCTCTGTGCTGACAGTGCAGAACATTGTTGAGATTCTTTCTTTCTCCCTCTCTCTCTCTGCCCTCCCCCACTTGTGCTTTTTCTCTCTCAAAGTAAATAAATAAAACTTTTTAAAAAAGAATCTCTTAAAAAAAAGAAGAAGAAGCATTCCCTATGAGGCTATCAACCCCTGTTGCTATTCATTTTTCTCACTCATATGGTGAAAAGTGGTGATGATTGGGTGTGGGTTTTTTTACTCTCATTATATCAAAATTTATGCACAAGTAGAAAGAAAAGATCTATCATAATGAACAAAATTTTTAAAACTTAAGCATTTTGTTCATCTGAAGGTAGTACTATTCTGTTAATTATGGTGATTTTGTGAGAACCGGCATGAAACCCAAATATGTTTTGTGTCTCAGTAGGAAAGAGAGAAGGCACAAGTGGAGGTTTTATAGACTTTGCTGGACTACTGAAAGGCCTATACAAAGAGGAGGCTAATTCAGCCCAAAATTGATTTGTGTTTGTTGTTCTAACACTTGAAAGCCAAAACATGTAGGCAATTGACATGAACTGTCATTCTGACATGGATACCACCAAAGAAGGAGGAATTTTAAAAATAGGTTTATTGCTTTTGACCATAACTTTGGTACATTGGCTACATTTGAACAATGACTTCTCATCATCTGCTTTTACTACTGATTCCCCACTTCTGGACAAAATATTTTGTCTTAGAATTGAATACTTGTTTCCTTAGTATGGGGCTATTGGGATTGCTTCAGAACTGGCACTTTTGGCATCTACCCTTTCTAATTAAGGTGGGAAATTTCATACAAGGCATATTGAGAATGGCACATCCAGACAAATTTGAGTGTCATGAGTCCCAGGGTCCTCTGGTGGCTTCAAAAATAGAGACTAACATCAATGTATTTTTATGACATGAGGATGGAATGTAGCTTTCAGCCACAGTGATAATGTTGGCTTTCAGTAATACATTTCCAGGAACATGATATCAACCTTACAAAAAAATTGGATGATTTAAACAAGTAAGAGTTAGGGTTGTAATTGAGAATTAAACTAAACAGCTGAATGTTTCATCTGATCCCAGCTACACAGCCAACTAGTTAGAGCACACCCTTCAGTGTCACATTTAGGCAAATGATCAGTTTGGTCACAGAAATAATTATTCTCTTATCTGGTACACTGGTTTAGCTAAAGTTAATAAATAGCACATGGGGACAATATGATGTGTTCACATTCTCTCCTCACATCCTGCTACCACAATACTAGAATTTGAGAAAACTAATGTCTTCATTTTAGCCACATAGACTGGGCACAAAGAGGCATACTCTACCATCACTAGATATAGTTGACCAAATTCTTCCCTACACATTCTCTTTTTCCAAGCTTTGGTTGATGCTGTTTTCTCTGCCTAGGATGCCTACAGGGGCCAGGAAGGTAACTATAAATTGATGAAATAGGCTGAGTAGAAGATCATAGACAGTGATGGGAACTGTGACAAGCTGCAGAGAGCATGCTTCTTCCAAAAAGATCACTGGGCCTTTTGGCTAAGGTCAAGTGTAGTATCTGTAGTATCTGTTCTTATCAATTTAATGTCTGATACGTCTTCTATTGAAAAAGGGCAACTACTACTGAGTTCCAGCTAATTGTCACAATGATACCCAAGGTTAACAGATCTTCCAACCTTTAAAACCACCCAGGGGCGCCTCGGAGGCTCAGTCAGTTGAGTGTCTGACTTCGGCTCAGATCATGATCTCACGGTTTGTGAGTTCAAGTCCTGCATCCAGCTCTGTGCTGACAGCTTGGAGCCTGGAGTCTGCTTCAGATCTGTGTCTCCCTCTCTCTCTGCTCCTACCACCCCCCTTCTCAAAAATAAATAAACATTTAAAAAACACCCAGAAATCCAGATTTTTATTCCTAATCCCACAATATCAAGATACTGGCTACTATTGTTTATGACTATAAGGGTCAAACAAAACTGGTTACCCATTTGTGACCTGTGACTTAGACAAGTCCTATCCATCCTTGTTGAAGATCCAGCACCAAAGCTGGTCTCTAAAACAACCTTCATCCATTGATATGTCTCCTCTGAAGTTTGCCATATTTCTAGTGTCTTTTTGCGCAATATGGCAGCTATCAACTCTCTTGTGAGGTATAATTTGTCTCTCACTTAGTAATTTCTTTGAAGGCAGGGACCACATGCCATCTCTCACAAAGCCTAGCCCAGGGCCAGAACATAGTAATGGACATTCAGTGAAGAGGGCTAGTTAGAACACAATCCCGGACATAACAGAACCCTCCACGATTCTCCATTGTCTTTCGCTGGTTGATTCATTCACCAGACTTTTACAAGTACCTATTATACTATCAGCATATATGTCGGGTGCTATGGATGAACATTAAGAAAACATGTACCTCTGCCCTTGAGGAACTAGCAACCAAATGTTGAGCTCAGATATACAAAGAAGGGCTATACTAAATCAAAATTACACTATTGCTCAAAGTGCACTGCATCACTTCCACAAAACTGTTCTAAGATAGCACTATCCAGTAGAAATGTAACCTGAGCCACATATATAATTTTAAGCTTTCCAGTAGTCACATTTAAAAACATGGCAACGTGGGGCACCTGGGTGGCTCAATTGGTTAAGCATCCAACTTCAGCTCAGGTCATGATCTCATGGTTCATAGGTTCGAGCCCTGTGTAGGGCTCAGTGCTGACGGTGCAGAGCCTGCTTAATATTCTCACTCTCTCCTCTCTCTCTTCCCCTCCCCCACTCACACTTTCTCTGTTTTTCATAATAAATAAAATAAACTTAAAAAAAGTAAAACAAAACAGGTGAGATTAATTTTAATGATATGCTTTATTTAACCCAATATATCCCAAAGTATTATCATTCTGATGTGTAATTAATATATGCTTTTCATTTAATGAGATATTTCACAGGTTTTTGTACTAACTCTTCTAAATCCTCTTATAGCACATCTCAATTCAGACTAGCCACACGTTCAGTGCTCCATAGTCATTTGTGGCTTGTGGATACCACATTAGTGCATTAAGAGAAAGGGATGCTCCTTACCTTACTGCCAAAGTGGGGATTGATAAATGTCACATCCTCCAAAGTCAGTAGAATTCTGTTGGGTCCTTTAATCAACTGGATTTTATTTATACGACGCCTGAAATAAGCATAAAATCAGAGGGTCAGAGGGGGCTGAATATTTTTTTGAAAACCCAGGATAAATTTGCCCCATGATAGAAATTTTAGAAATATACAAGATCATGGAGAGAATAACCACACGTAGATCTCTCCCTTACTACCCACAGGAAAGAGAAACTGCAACCCTGTTTCTCACAACTTGCAGAGTTACAAAGAGCGAAAGAGAGAAACGAAAATGGTATTGAAAAGGCATCAAAAGGGGAGGGTGAGGATGCTACATGGAGATGGTAGGTCAGACTAATAAAATGGTGATCCCTCATCAAGAGCACATTCAAAACAATACCTCGTAATACTTGTATAGAGCCCAATACCCTTTCTCATATGCCATAGTATATATCCTAATAATACCCAATCCAAGAATCATTCATCTCCATTTTATAGACGCAAAAACACATTAAAGAAACAAAACAAAATTAGGCAAATTGTGAGATCCCCTAGCCTGAAGCAGCACTGGGACTCACTTAAGTCCTTGGTCCCTGGCTGTGGGCCCAGATTTCTGCCCACAAGACCACTTGTCTTGCAAAGTTGCATCTATGCGTTGCCAAAGCAACAGGTTGAAAAGTGGAAAAATGCAATCAGTTGGTTGCTTTGTCTACATGATTCCAAACAAGTGGGCTGACTGGGTTTTTTTTCTCTTTTACTGAACTGGTCTCTTGTCTGAGCATTACACAGACACAGTTTAAACCTGATTCTCTTCAAACGTGCCCATTAATTTGCAGCAAATGTAATTATTTCCTACAAATCAATTACTAGACACATAAGAGTTTATGATGCCTTACCCACACATCCAGGTAGGTCATCTCAGTTGAGCTGACCCGGCAACTCAAGGACCCAGAGGGTACCTTGGATTTAGTCTGTGTGGTTGTTTTCTTCTGTTTTGTCTTGGGGCTCTGACAGCAACAGTTTGGCTTCGCTTTTTCCGCAACCCCTTAATGGTCACCCTGTGGAATGTTTTAAAGCTAGCTCCAGAGTGGGGAAAACAACCACTGAATCAAAATGCTTTTTCAAGTTGCTCTAAAGAACTCTGCAATGTCACTGTAGCTGTAAGCACCAGCAACACGGTTTTTCTCAGCAATTCCACTGGTTTGTAAACAAACAATTAATGTGTTTCTAATTGCCTGCCAACAAATATGTCCCTTATCACTCTGGGAGCTTCTACCCTGCAGAGAAAATTAAAAGAGCCCTGTAGTGAATTCTTGGGTAGAGCACATGAATCTTTTGGCAAAGGAAAACATCGCTCCCTAACTTATCTATTTCATATGTGTAGTGAATTGTCTTAAAGCAGGCACACCTGTAAAAATAACCATGCTCCAGAGCACACTCCAGTAGAAAGAGAACTGGACTCCCAGTCCACAGACCTGGGGTGTAGTGCAGATTCTGTCATTAATAAGCCAGATGACCTTAGATAAATAATTTAACCTCTTCATGCCCCTGTGTCTTCATCTGTCTAGCAGGATAATAGTTCTGCATTACCCGCTTTATAGAGTTGTTTTGAAAATCAAATGAGATAATGTATGTGAAAGTGCTCTGAAAAGCATGAAGCACCATGAAAGTAGAAGAGCTCATTATTATCATTATCATCATTAGTATTACAAAGCACTGGAGAGCTTTATAGAAAGGCGAGGCAATCTGGTTCAGAGCAGGGAGAAAGGAGAAGTTCAAAGAATGCTTTGTTTTGGGGTGGTTGGGTTCTTTGCATGTCTTTCCTTCTGAAAAAGAAAAAAAACTTAAACAATCAAAACACACAGAAAGGGAAGGAACAGAGAGTCACTCTCCTGCAAGTAATCACCATCTATTACAGAAACTCATCAGACGCTCAGCTCTTCTGATTGCAGCCGTGGTGGGCAGAGAGAGGGAGGAAGGCAGCAAAGAGAGGGCATCTTTTGTCCTTTGTTAGCTGAAGAACCACTGACCAAGTGGCTCTGGCAAATGATGTGTCTCTCTCCCATCTCTGAGTTTTCTGTGACCACTTGAAGTACCAATTGTCTCAAACTCATTTTCCTCTCCAATCATGTCCCTCTCCAATCATATCCCTCTCCAATCATTTTCCACTCTAGTCTTCTTGGCCCTTCAGCCCACAAACTCCAAACAACACCCCTCATGGTTTTTAGACTTGTTTTTCTTGCTTTCCAAAGAATTGCAGATTGAGCTCATTATTCTAAGCCCAAAGAACCAGTTCATTCCATGGGAAAGACCAGGGAGACCAGTCATGGAGGGTAAGGTGGGAGGTTGACTGACAAGTAACATAAGCAACTGAGTGACTCCATTTTCCACCTTGCCATGGGATGTTTTGGCATTAGGTAACCAGAGCCCATTACTCTTCAAATCTCCCTAGAGAGAGGAGCTTTTAGATTGGATGGCATTTATTTTCACTAAGCATCTAAGGATGTTAATTCAATCCTTTAGTCTTTGGCAGCAGCTAAATTCAATACATTAAATTTCTGTTCTGAGCAGGGATATTTCACAGTCACAGAAATTAAAAGAAAAACTTCCCTTGAACTAATGTCTTTATCAAATATGTTTTAACAATTCATAAGCTACATACCACTCTGTATGGTTTTATCGAGTTTCTAATATGAGGAGATTGAATAATGGTTTTTCACAGTGATGCCAACATACTAAACACTAAGAGTTAACACCTGTTAGAGTTTCAGTCCAGGATTTCACAGAGTCATTAGAACATCAGAGCTGGAAGGGCTCTTAAAGATCACTTAATCCAATCCCTTCATTTTACAAATGAGAAAATTCTGGCCAAGAAAGGTTTAGTGTCTTGTCCAAATTTCCACAGCTTCTTAGTACACTCTAGACATTTTTTTTTCTTGGAACCTGCTAAAATAGCTCCACTCTGTTCCCTACCAAATTCATGTCATATTTTTGTCAGGACCACTCTTGCAAAGACATAACAAAGGTGTGGTTAGTAGAATGGAAAGGGTAAAATGGGACAGTTGTGGTTGATTTCATTTTTTACTTTCCCCAAATCATCTTAATATGGGGAGGGTTCATCTGTTAAAATGTGAAGGTTATAAGAAAGGAGTGATGTATGAAGCCATCTTCAACCATTTACCCCTGATCCAGAATTAGTTCATCAGAGTAGTTGCTCGCCTATCACGGACTCTCATGGAGGAAGACAAAGACTTGATAATGATGGTGTTGATGATCCGCTAGGATAGCTTTTGTCCAAGGAAGAAGGACAGTACAAACCTGGAATGTGACACCTTGAGCAAAAGGCATGAGTGGCAAGGTGAGGATTCTGGGCTCCCAACAATCAGCAGGAGAATCCATGCACCTGGGAAGGAGGGGAGACTTGACCACTTGCTGAGCATCCACTATGAGTCAGGTATTATTCCAGGTGTTTTACTTACTTGGGTTTATTGAATCTCTGCTACGATCCTGGGAGTTAGGACCATTATTCTGAACTCCTGGATTCTAGCCAAAGTCTGAGCAATTCTTAGAGCTGGTTAAAACATCCCAATTCTGTTTTCTATTTGTCCATACATTTGGGGGAAGGAGATGGGTATAGGAGACTCTGCCAGTGGAAAAGGAAGCACAGCTAGGTAGTAAACCAGCTCTAAAATACTAATTCTCTTATTTCACAATAGTGTTGAGAATTAGATCTCCTCACAGGCAACAACACTGACAACACAGCTGAGGAAGTTATTCTTGGCACCATGAAAACACTTCACTCTAAATGGGGCCAGTAGGGATGGTAAATCACCATGGAAAAAAGGAAAATCAGTGAGTCATGTAATGAGGAAATTGTACTGAAACACGACTTCCAGGAAATAAATATTACCAAAGCCATTATGGTCTTGTACTTTCATATACAAAAAGAACAAAAATGTACCTTATAAAGTAAGCAAATCCATTAATAGACAACAGGGCTATAAGCAAAGCGAGACAGACCATCAAGGCAAAGGCAGGGTTGATGCCTGTAGAGAACAAGAGGAAGAATGGCATTATCGCAGAAAGGCTGTAAATAAAGGGCACCACGAAGCAACTCCTCATGCTTTCTGGTGACTCTAAAATCAAACCACATCTACCTAATTCCATTTTTCTACAGCACAGTATGTCTTGTTGACTTCATGGACACAGAAAGCAATTTCACTGTTCTGAAGCAAAACCACTCACCACTCTGACAATAACAAATCACATGAATTAAGCCTGACCCGGGTATTTCTTTGGAGGAAAAAGTCCACGAATGGAAAACTTTGAGTACCTTAATTTAAGTTGGATGGCAATAGAGTTACTGAGAATAAACATGTTATCTCACCTGTGAAGGGTAAGTATTATGTTGTCTTCATAAAATAAAGGAACTTTTAAATTCACGGGAGCCCATAGACCTCGTGAGTTATAGATGAAAAACGTAATAGCACTTGTCCTTCAAGGGTGAGTCTGTTTTTGATAATTAGTGTTTCATTGAGATGTAAATTGGCCTCTAGAAAACCTAAACATTTGGGAGGATTACTAAGATTTCAGAAGGAACTAGATGATGATGCTAATGAAAAGGTATTTGGGTGTGTCATGCTCAAGCAAAAGACAAATTGAAGCCCATTTCAAATAGATGCATTTGGTTTTAGAAGAGTGTGGTGTACACACACATAGGAATAATATGGGTCCTTCTAAAGTTCCCCCCTGGCTCTCAGAGATTTGATGGACTTTCCACTCTTCCTCAAGCTAGAGGAGTTCCATCAGTCAATCAAAGTGCAAGTATTTATTGGATGCTGACTGTGTTGGGTGGTGGGAGAGGCTAAGAATTATTAGCTATGCCCTCCAGGAGCAGTATATTTGGGAGGGGGAGACACAATCAATACACAAGAAACAATTGAAAAGCAATTTTGTGCTAAGCTGTGAGGTACAGACTTTTAGTTCAATGAGAGTTCAGAGAGGAGAGGGTATAGAAATAGGATTTCTGTGGAGGGACCTGACTGACAGGATTTGGATGCATCAGGGAAAGGGTAGATAATCTTTCTGGCAGTGGAAACAATCACAGGTCATAGTCAACAACAGACCAAGGAGAAGACTCATGCCTTCCTCCTATTAGAGTAACCTCTTTGGGAGTGCCGATCCTTTGAAAAGGAGTTGGGGGGGGGGGTGAGATTTTTAAATCGTGCATGATTATTTGAGGCTACAAAGTACCTCTCATTGTCCTCATTATTTTTTTTTTTATTTTTTTTTTTTAAATTTTTTTTTTCAACGTTTATTTATTTTTGGGACAGAGAGAGACAGAGCATGAACGGGGGAGGGGCAGAGAGAGAGGGAGACACAGAATCGGAAACAGGCTCCAGGCTCTGAGCCATCAGCCCAGAGCCCGACGCGGGGCTCGAACTCACAGACCGCGAGATCGTGACCTGGCTGAAGTCGGACGCCCAACCGACTGCGCCACCCAGGCGCCCCTGTCCTCATTATTTTAAATTGACTACCTGGAATGCCAAGATGTTTATCTGACCTGAATACAAATGACTGATTCTATGAGTGTTCCAATATTAAAATGTGCCTTCACTTAAAGAGGTTCCCTGGTAACCCAAGCTGAGCCAAATTGACTATCAGTGATTTTCCATTCCTTACCTCCTTGACAGATCTTCCCTTCTGCAAACCAGCATTTTGCATCTGCTTGAGGGGGCCTGCCACCAGGGAAGTGAATGGGGGTCCCTCTGAACCGTAGCAGCTCCGTTTCCATGTCCACAGTGTAAGTGCTATACAGTTCCCATTCTTTCCAGTTGGTGTCCAGGATTACATATTCTGCAATTCCATTTCCGTTTGAATCTGTCCTTATCAACTGGTTGAATCCATAGAACTGCATGTTTCTGGAATGCTGAACCAGGCTGGCAGCACTAGCCTGTCCATTTTCTTTCATAGCATTATTCATGGCTTGTGCGATAAAGTAAATTGAATTGTAGATGGTTCCAAACAACGGTGAAACCTATTTTTAAAAATTACAATTATCTTGAGCTCTGGTCGCCCTAGAGCAATCTCAGAGTGTATTCCAAGCCCGTGTTCATTATTATGGGCTGCACATCTGAATGTAGAACTATGAAGACCCAGAGGAAAAAAAACAATTGTTTCAGAGGACTTGCTTGGTTTCTCCCCTGAATTTTTCTGTTATTTTCCCCCAGGCCTTTACATCTTTACATATATCAAATATGACAATTTTATGAGCAAACCAAGTAATACACAATATATTTTTATGCTTCTAAACTAAGAAAGTGATATAGAGTTATAAAGGGCACTTAAAAAAAAAAAGAATGGAATCAGCAAGAGGCATGCACAGGAAATTTACCACGTTAATTACCGGTGCATTATGCATGGTAAAATCATTTTACTGACACTACTAGAGTGGTAGGTGTGTGTGGGAAGACTGTAAATAATGTGTCTCCACAGTCCATGTCTGTGTCCTGTCTTAGTCCAAAGTGGCTATTCTCCTAGACACATGCTCCTCAGAGGAAGTGAACACTAGAATACAGTTTTAAGCACATACCCCCACACATACACATGCAAACATGCATCCTGACACATATGCACCCACAAACACAGAGCCAAATGTTGCAACATATGGAGAATGCGGGTTTTAATCAAGCAACCTTTTCTTCATGTTGGTGTCCAAAGTGGCAAAGCTTTGGTGAGAAGCCACTGTAAAGCATTAAGGCTTCCAAGGTGGACAACATGACTTTGCCTGCTATATAAACATAGTAAAAGCAACAATACTCGTGTACTATGCTCAATGCACTGATAATTAACCTAGTAAAAATTTTTTGGAACAAACTTGTATTTTTATTCCAAAAAGATAGGGAGAAAGAGAGAACAATCCCTCCCTCCTTCCTCCCGCCACCCCACCAGAACATGGCTTCATGGTTTTCCATAACATTTCATTTCTAGGATGGAGTTCAATAAAGCTATGGTCATGCCATTTTACCAAGCTTCAGAGAAAGCTGATACTTGCTACTTTGGTTTCACAAGATCTAGAAAGCTATCCTCCTATAACAACCTTCATCTGAATAAAAGGGTTTAAAATTGAGTGAATCATTTTCATGTTGGAAATACAAGTCAAGATGCAGAGAGGTACAGCAACTAGCGAGACACTGCTGTGCCTCGTTAGTGTAGAGCAGAGGGTTTTCAGTTACCCAAGTAGTGTCAAAAACACCAATGCCAGACCCAACCCAGATGAACAAAATGAGACACGTTAGGTTTGGGACCCAGTAATCACTATTATTAAAAGCTCCCCAGGTATTCTAATATACACAAAGGACTTAAAACAACATAGAAGAAGACACACTGGCCTGTGGTTTCTTCCTAATGCCAGGATGTTGGGCAAGTCACTTATTATCCACTCTCTCTGGGCTTCAGTTTCTTCCTCCCTGAAATGTCTAGAAGCATGAATGTCTAAACCTTGGACATCATTTGGTCTAGCTGTCTTTCTTTTTAGACAGGAAAGGGAGACCCAAGGTAGTTTAGTGATTTGTCCAAGTCACTCACCTGGACATGAAATCAGGACTAGAACCCAGGTTTTCTGTTTCTTAGTTTAGCATTTTTGATTGAAATAGGTGTTACCTGTGTTCTTTTATCGGCATGAACTTCTGTGAAATTTCCTAACACCTGGTCTAGTACAGGGACCAAATTTAGCTTGCAGACATTTTTGTTTGGACTGTACATGTTCTTTTTTTCTTCATCTTCTGATCTTTTAACATTAGAATGTTAAGCAGTTCCATCTTTAGTCCTCTTCCCTATCAACACTCATTCCTTTGGTGATCTCTTCTGGTCTCCTTGCTTTAAGTACCACATCTATACCATATATCTCAGATTTATACTTCCATATCAGACCTGTTTCCTAAATTCCACACTCAAAAGTCAACTCCTTGCTCCGGTATTTCTACCTGGATGTCAAATTTCAATGTACCCACAATTGAGCTCCTGATTTTCACCTCAAATCTTCCTGCTTCCTCTAGGAGTCTTCCCCCATCTTTGTTAAAAGCTACTCCATTCTGGGGCTCCTGGGTGGCTCAGTTGGTTAAGAGTCCGACTTCATTTCAGGTCATGATCTCATGGCTCATGGGTTTGAGCCCCGCATCAGGCTCTGTGCTGACAGCTCAGAGCTTGGAGCCTGCTTCAGATTCTGTCTCTCTCTCTCTCTCTCTCTCTCTCTCTGCCACTCCCCCACTCGTGTTCTGTCTCTCTCTCTCTCTCTCTCTGCCAAAAAACATTACAAAAAAATTTTTTAAATAAATAGGCATGGGGAATGGATGGCATGTGTTGCCACCAAGGAATCCACATTTAGTTGCCTAGCACACACTGAGGTCTCTTGAGGGGTTTCCACTAACTCTCCCTTTGACATTCTCAGATGCTCCATTTAATTGTCTTTAGGATTTCTGCAAGACCCACCTGTTTTCTAGGGCTTTGGTAGGTTATGACAATAAGTTCAAGTTGGAAGGTGGGGTATAAAATCAATACTAGTAAAATAAATGAGTAAAATACCACAAGGCAACAAGCCCCTGAAAGCAGAGAAAATGCTAGTATTCTGTTTTGAAAGGCACAGAACCTTCTGGGAAGGAGAGTGCATCTACCTACAGCCAAAAGCAAAGATTAAAACTATTAAAAATAACACCCTCACCTCTGAGTTGACCCATCTTACAGGATTTTGAGCTAGCCAGGCTATGCTGCCCTTTGTGTTCTTGGATTGACCCCTGTTAGAGCTGACTGACGGCAACTCTCCAAGATGACTGAAACCTGAAGCCTGTTTTTCAGGAGACTCTAGCCTCCATCATCTCTCTCTCTCTCTCTCTCTCTCT